GTGCGGGAGACCTACCGCTACCTGACGGACATCTTCACCACGCTGGTCGACCTCAAGTGGAGGTTCAACCTGTTCATCTTCGTGTTGGTTTACACCGTGACGTGGCTGTTCTTCGGCTTCATGTGGTGGCTGATCGCTTACATACGAGGAGATCTGGAGCACATAGGAGACAACCAGTGGACTCCTTGCGTCAACAACCTCAACAGCTTCGTGACCGCGTTCTTATTCTCGATAGAGACGGAGACGACCATCGGCTACGGCCACAGGGTGATCACTGACAAGTGCCCCGAGGGCATCGTGCTGCTGCTGGTGCAGTCGGTGCTGGGCTCCATCGTCAACGCCTTCATGGTGGGCTGCATGTTCGTGAAGATCTCGCAGCCCAAGAAGCGCGCCGAGACTCTGGTGTTCTCCACCAATGCCGTCATCTCCATCCGCGACGGCCGGCTTTGTCTGATGTTTCGCGTCGGAGACCTGCGGAACTCGCACATCGTGGAAGCATCCATTAGAGCCAAACTGATCAAGTCCAAACAGACCAAGGAGGGAGAGTTCATCCCTCTCAATCAGACGGACATGAATGTGGGCTACGACACCGGAGACGACCGGCTCTTCCTGGTGTCTCCGCTCATCATCTGCCATGAAATCAATCAGCACAGCCCATTCTGGGAGATCTCCAAAGAGCACCTGGCCCATGAGGAGCTGGAGATCGTGGTGATCCTGGAGGGCATGGTGGAGGCCACAGGTACGCCACTGAAATCTGCAGTTGTTTCATTGCGCTCAGAGATTACATTTACACACATGGCGACTAAACTGCAGTGGAAATGCAAACCGAGCCGAGCCGAACCGTGCCGTAACACGCAGTGGAAAAGCGCCAATAGTGGGTTTGGCAGATGCTTTTATCCAAAATCACTTGCATTGCATTGAAGGTGTGCATTTGATCAGTTCATGCATTCCCTGGGAATCAACCCCATAACCATGGCGTTTCTAGAGATGTGCTGTACTGTTTGCACTCAGAAATTGCATTTACATGTAATGCATTTGGCAGATGCTTTTCCAAAGTCACTTACATTGAAGGTATGCAGTGGATTGGTTCATGCATTCCCTGGGAATCGAACCCATGACTGTGGGATTTCTAGAGACATGCTCTACTGTTTGCACTCAGAGATTACCCTTACACAGCGCGTTTGGAAGACACTTTTATCCAAAACTGCTTGCATTGCTTTGAAGGTGTGCATTTGATCAGTTCATGCATTCCCTGGGAATCGAACATGTGACTGGTATTGCTCTACTGTTTGGACTATAGGATGTTCATTGCACTCAAAGATTATATTACATAATGCATTTGGCAGGCGCTTTTATCCGGAACAGCTTTCTGAACCTATGACCATGACCATGGCGTTTCTAGAGACATGCTGTACAGTTTGCAGTCTGAGGTTACATTTGCATGTAATGCATTTGGCAGATGCTTTTATCTAAAATCACTTGTGTTACACCTGGCTCAGGGATGTGACATTAAGCGAGACGACACAGCGGAATAAGTTCAAACATAATATTTATTATAACAGAATTAACCAAAATAACATAATCAAAATGTCAGTATCATTAGTGTCAGTCAGTAGGAATTGCAAGTGAATGGATGCACAAAGTGAAGAGTTGTCAGTGCTAGTGAATGCCAGGGTGTCCAATAAAACATTCTCAACTCCCTTAATGTGTTTAATGGTCAAGTCATAAGGCTGTAAGAAAGGTATCCATTGCATTAAGCGTTGACTCGGACTCTGTAATGAGTGAAGGAAGGTCACAGGATTGTGATCAGAATAGATGACGACTGGAGACCCTCCGCTGACATACACATCAAAATGTTGAAGAGCCCAGATCAGTGCCAGTGTTTTCTTCTCAATAACGGAATAATTCAATTGATAGGAATTAAACTTGTGTGAGAAATAACTAACTGGGTGATTGATACCATTGATATAAACACGGCGAAGCCCAACTCGAACAAGACGGTTTTGCAATGTCATTCTTCAGCATGTACTGAATATCTGACTCCAATTTTTGACATTTGTCAAAACGATAGAAGCGCTGGCGTATAGGTGAAGCATCACCCATCTACAGCATGTTCTATTAAATGACAAAAACTCGCGTATGGCCGCTCTGCTCGCTGCAAAACAGATAAATGGGACAACAAATTCTCCAAATCTTTCAGATGATTTTGGATAAAAGCATTGCATTGAAGGTATGCAGTGGACTGGTTCATGCATTTGCTTCGCTTTGGACTGCACACGGAGAGTAAATGTTGCAGCTTAGAAGAAGCTCAAACATCATTTTTGTCACGTTTTGATCACTGCATCATTCCCAGACCTCCACTCGAGTGATTTCAGAGGTTTCATCACTGCACTATTATTCTAACACAGTGGTTCTCAACCTTTTTTTCCTCCGGGCCGCACTATGGTCCAAGTGCAAGTCTCACGGGCCGCACGCATATCATTTACATATTATGTCACCAATACAAACCAACCAGATTTATAATAGCCTATTATAGCATAAATATTATAGCTTCTCCTATTTTTTTATATTTTAGACATCCATCAATTAGTGATGATAAAAAAAATAATTTGTCGCGCTGGTGGAAACAACAGGAGACCATGCTGCGGCGACTGTAAGAGCGGCTCGACGGTGTTTAGTGTCCCGCAGCAGCAGCATGTATGGTGCGTGCCGTCAGCGCAGCTGAACTGCGT